AAAAAAAAAAAAAAACTTAAATAATTTTTTTTAATTCTTTTGAACAAGATAACTCAATCAATTTTCACATCATTTTCATCAATTTAACATCAATTTTCAAGCACCCAAACTAAATTTATTTTCCCTCAGAAAAAAAGTGTTAGAAAATTAAGTTTCCTACAGAGAAAATAAAATTTTAAATGGCATATATGCGAAAATAAATGCTCTTCGTTACTCTGCCATTCTTGCTACTCTGCCATGTTATCTGAGAATATATATATGTATATATTCTCAGAAACTTGCCATTCTCAATCAGCATACATATATCTGATAAGGTAATACATACCTGCCAACATTGTAGGGGAAAAATAACGGAGATTTTACTGTTTTACTAGCGATATATCATGTATAATCATGTAAGTCAAAAAGAGAAATTCAAAAGTGGAAATAACATAAGCACTTACATTTAGCGAAGTAAAAAATATGTATGTAAATCTCAATCTAAAGAAGATTCTTTTAAACCATTATTTATAATTCCTTAAACTATTTTATAACCATTGTTAAACAGCCGACCCAATTTTTGGTTTATGGCTACTAGTGTTTAACTCTGTTGCCTTGTAATTTTGAGCCCAATCCAGAAGACAAGGAAACTCCTGGATCAATCAAATATTGGAAGAAATTTTATATTGTGGAGGACATTTTGATAGAACTAACCCACATTTGCGTTACATGGAAAGGAAAACCACAAAAACATCCCAAGGGTAGCCTGACTGCAAAAGGTACTTAAAATATTAACAATTAACATACTGCATACAACTTTTTCAACAAATATGGAGAAAGTTGAGAATATACAGGCAAACAGGTGGTAGTCGTAAAATGCAGGAGTCTTTGTTAAGAAAACAGGAGAATTGGCAGGTATGGTAATAGAACTTCGAGAGACATGCTGCTAAGAGCATAAAAACTTGATTCTTCAAAGAAAGAAATTCATAAATATAAAAGAAAAAGAAATAATACTCAGATTCCAAAATGGTGGCCTGTTTACCAAAAAATACCAGAACAACATACGAGTGTGTTAAGACGTCATTGCATAGAAATGAGAGGAGTTATTACGAAAAATTAATTTAATAATTTAACCAAAAAACATGAGAATACCTTAAAAAGACAGTAATGAACAATACACATTTTATAATCGCAAAGAAAAATTAAACTATATCTATTATATAGTATATATCTATTATATAGTAATTAAAATAATTCTAAATATAGCATACCCAGTATGAGACACACATATCACATGATTACAGACACTCAAAGTCATTTGGAGAAGTTTATTTGTGATTATGGCACTGGCATCTGCAAACCCAAATAGGGAATGATCTGTAAAAACTGCTTCCAGTCCCATTGTCTTAGCGTGAAGCATTGCTTCATGTGCTAATGCAGAAAATGCCTGAAAAAAATTTGCATAAATTTAAAATTTTTTAATTATTTTATATTTTTAAACATCAAAACTGTAAAAGAAAATTTTCTTATTTAACATGAAAGACAGAAAAACTTGAAAGGAAAACGAAAATATAAATTAGAGAAATTATTCTGTCCAGATTTTTCTACTTATAGGTAAATAACAAATTTTTTTTTTCCTTTGTATTGTCATATTAATTAAAAGTGTTCCACTAAACAACATTTTTTTAATCACACATATTTTACTCGAATTCCAAGGTAAGCTGATGACCTGCATACCCTAATTGTAATTATGACAAATATGTGTTTTATAACTATTATTATTTTTTAAAAAAGGTAGTTCTATCATGTTGGCTTGGTTGCATTTGGTTATGCTACATTGAAATGAGATCTGTTCTTGCTGTTATTATAGCATTGTAGTTTAATTCATTTACTATTATCTACTTTTCTTCGTATACCTTAATTGATTATAAGATATCTTTAAATAAATAAACTGCAATACTATTGCATAATAATTGTCATTCCTCAGAATGTATTACTTTAGTATAATACATATTGAAACATAAACATTAGTTAAAAATATTAAGGTAATAGTTTACAATGGGGGGTACCTCTCATTTTTGGCAATTTTTTTGATGCCAAGGAGGGTGTTAAAAATTAATAGACATAATCAGAAACAGGGATTCATCAAAATTTTACAATTCACATTTTTTTCTAATCCAAGGGGTTCCCGACTCTAACAAGCGAGTAACGAATGATAAAAGAAAATGGAATTTTAAAATTTAAATTAATATATATGAAAATAAATTAAATTAATATACATGAAAATAAACCAAGAACCAATCTGGTAATGAAAAAAAATTGTGGTAACCTGAAAGAGCAAAGAATATCATGGTAACCAAAACAGGGTTTTTAGCAAAAATTGTACAATTCAAGGGTTTCCAGACCCTACACTAGAGCCAAGGTAAATAAATAAATGATAAGCATTAGTACATTCAGTGATAGTTAATTTACTATTTTTTTGGAATTTGGCAACAAAGTTGGCAAATCATACAATTTTAGGAAATTTTTACACAATTTTTTGAGGAGCCTTAACAGCAAAAGTAAGGGGGAAAAGTATCTTACTGAATGTCCATGTACAATAGAAATTTTTTCCCTAACAAGGATAAAACGGATGACAGGGAAGGTGGTAAATAATGTCGGAAGTGTGCACTGATTGTACACCACCCATACAGGCATATAATATACCTAAAAAAATGTAAAACAATGTGTGCAATTAATAATTGAATTAAGTATCTATAAGTACATAATTACTTTTAAAAAAATAAAACCCGATTATATTTAGCATACAAGTTATAGCAATTTATTTGTTATGTTTCAAGACAATTATAAATAAACAATAACATAAATTGATATAGGGATTAATAATTGAATATTTCAATTTAAAAATTGAAAGTTTCTAGTACATTTTTTTTATTTTGTATTCTACCAATTGTTTTTTTTTTTTTTTTTAATAAAAAAAATGCACTGTAAACTTTAAATTAAGGAAAACTTTCCTAAGATTTATATAAACTTGTAAAATAATATAATAAACAATAATGAATTTTTAAAATAATATTAGAACTTTATATTTTTGGTGTGAAATGCACGGTGATTATTAATATAGAAAACTAAGCAAATTTAAATTCAATATAAAACACTTAAAAATGCAAGTAATTTTTTTTCCTGACATTAAACTAACTCTAAACTATTAAAGATTTTTTTAGTTATATACTATTTAAATTAATTTTAAAAAATTTTAAGTTGTTGAAGGTAAAACAGAAAATTTTGAGTTGGGAGCAACCAATAACTTGCAAGAGAATCAAAATTACTTTGCAAGTGAATTTGTTAACTAAAAAAGAATTATAAATAATATACTACAAGCAAAAATTTATAGCATATAGTGCTGAATATGAATTCAAGCTGAAAAACAAAGTTTGAAATCCAAAAATTAATAGGGAACCCAAATTGAAACTGACATCAATTTTTAAAAATAAAAAAAAAGATTAAAAGAATATAAAATGTATTTTTAAAGCTACACAAACATATAAAATGCCAAAACTATTAAAATAAAATCAGATGCATAATAAATTATTTGCAATTTATTTAATTTAAAAAAAGGAAACCTCCTCTGATGAATAATTAAAATTAGACAATATACAACATTTCTTAGGAATTTGCAACAAAAAAAAAAGTTTGATATTGCTGTGCCTGAGGGAAAAAATTACAAAAGTTGTTATGCATTTTAATAATATTATTAAGAATATTAAAATATTATTATTAAAATATTAATAATATTACTTTAATAATATAATTTTAATAATATTATTTTAATAATATGTAAAATTTAAAAATTACTTATAAACATACTTTTAATCCATTGGTTAAATATCTAATTCCTTTACGATTTCCATAAGCATGAGTAATTACAATGACTTTGTGACCTTTTTTAATAAGACACTGAGCAAGTTGGTAAATATGACTCTCTACCCCACCAGTATTGGGATAGAAGAAATCAGACACCATACTAGAAGTAAAAAATATTCTGTGTTAGAATTTAATGTATATGAACACTGTGTCAATTCATATATAACTTCTGGCAGTTCATCAGATTTGAAAAGAACTTTTTAAACTACATAAACAAAGCATATTTTATTTTTGTTAAATAATAGGTAATAAAAATTTTTAAAATAATAAATTCTAAAAAGTTTTTTAATAAATAAATGTTTTATGTAAGCTATTATTTCAGTTGTAAAGTTAACATTTTGAGTTAGATGTGGTTTTATTATTTTTATATTGAAACAAAAATTGCCTTTCACCAATAAAATAAAAATATATCAATATGGAAAATGAGTGTCTTTTCTCATTTTTCAAATTATATAACTCATAAAAAGTTAAAACTCATTAAGAAATACAAAAAAAAAGATATTAACTCATAAAACGTTAAGATTTGTAACTAAATCTAGTCACAGTAGTGTTATTCCTATCCAAAAAAATGAGAAATAAAGGGGTTTTATGTAAATCATACTTCAGAATAAAAAATAACTACCTAATTTAATTTTGTGTTTTGCTACTTTAATTTCGAAAGTTCTGCACACATTTCAATTAATAATAAAATATGTTTCGTGATGCTGGTTTCATTCTGTAATATCTAAATAGGTATAAAAAAGGGGGACATATTTCTATAGTGATACCTGTTCACACCACCTAGAACTGCCAGCTCCCCAAAAGGATTTTAAACTCGTAAAAATATTCTTAAAAACTAAATAAAACATTTGGAAGCTTGCCTTAGAAGCCCTTCTATAGCATTGTTTTTTTTATTATCGTTATTTCTTGCAGGATAATGCCCAGAAATCAACAAACATAGGTACAGATACCTATACAGAAATCATCTGGAAAAGAAAAAAAAACAGAATTGCGCTTTTTTCTTTTTTAGGATCAAAAGCATAGAGAAGATAATTCAGTCAAATTGTAAATATAGTTAGCAATCAATATAAACTTCACTTGCCTGATTTAAAGTGATAGATCAGATCAATCAAAAATAAGATCTAACTTTTTCTTTCAGAATCAAAACTATTTACTAGTTGTAGATCGTTGACTTATCTAAATATTGAAGTATGCCAATATTTCTGTATGCAAAATATTTCCAAACCAATAGTGTTATAATATGGGGACAATTTAAAAAAAAAAATAAGTATGTTCTACACATAGGATGAATTAGTATCATTCCCAATGTTAAAATTTTAAATAGAATACATTTTTATCAAAGCACTATGTATGCATATGAGAATAATTTAATATGGATTTTCATCAGCATAAGTATCATTTAAATTACCAAATGTTGAGCTTTTTCTGCATATTTTCTACTTTTCGATTAAAATCTAAATTTCAATAAAAAATTATACTTTGACTGTTCACGAAATAAAACTTCGCCTTTTTATTAAAAAAATTTAGCATCTGCCATAATTTATGAGTCGTTTCTCAATTGAACAATACATTAACTACGGAAACAGGCATAATAACAACAATTCATTTTGAAAGCTAAACATAAACAAACAATCTCAGTCAACGGCACAGTGAGCAGATGAAATGAGTCATTTTTTCACGTTTCCAGTGAAGTGATTCAAAACTTATAATTTTTTTGCATCGACTAATGTTTAATCACTCTGATAATAGAAAATTGATTTTTTATTTACTCCTTCAGAACCTTAATTCAATAACTTTCTAAATTTATTCTGTGCTATTGTTATAAACAGAACTAATACAACTCTACTTTAGCCCTATCACTTTTGTTGATAAACAAAAGAATAAGTCGGTTTTGTGTTCTTTTCTATCAGCTTATCTTAAATTAAAACTGTGTTTAAATTAACTTATGTAAGTTGTTGAAAAAGATAGCTAAAAAAGTTACTATTTTAAAAATCTTAGTCATTAGCCGACAATTTGTACTTAATACACCCTTTCATAATTTACATATGTTTACAAAATTGATTATAATCGAGAAAGTGTAGCCCATCTTTGATAAGTTTTTATTCTAATTTTTTATGGTACATGTTTTTTTTAATTTTTTTTTATATATTTTAGTTTCAGTATCGATTTTTTAAAAAGTCTCAATCGTTCAGTGACATTTTTCATTTTACCTTTTGCATATCTTCTTTTCCAAATTTTATTTACGTTTTACGTGCATTTAAAAAAATAACTATTATAATGATAGTGGAATTGTGTATTACATCATGTATCTTAATAATATTGTTAAATGAGTATTTTTTGAATAACGTCTTTTCAAAATTTTGTTTCTGTTTTACTGTTGTTTACAAAAATAACATGATGAGAATCAAATTGTAGTCTCTCTTTATAAGTTGTTGTTCTAATTTTTTTTAGGTTACATGTTATTTTATTATTTAAATTTATGTTGTGTCTTAGAAACAAACCATGAATGTGGTTGTATAATTTTTGTTCATAGATTATTAGAAGTTTATGTTAATTATCTGCACCTGTAAAAAGCTGCTTCTGGCATGAAAATACCCGATTTTTTGCACCATTTGTTTTCAAGTAATGCATTTTTAAAAATTTCTTTATTGTTTATATTTTTTAAAAATCTATCTTAAAATCTATTACACCTTCAAAGCTATATTTTCTGTCCTCTAGTTCACTCTTATAGCTTCAGAAGTTCCTAACATTTTAATTTTTTTTTTAATAATTAAGCTATTATATATTTTGTCAAATTATATTAAAAATTTACCTCTCGATGGTAAATAGTTCTCAAGTTTTAATTTTTAAAAATTATATTGCTGTGAAAAATTTCCAGAAATACTTAACTTGGAAAGAAATGGTGCGAAAAGAGTGAATCTTGGTAATTTTCTTCCATTCTCCTCTACCTATGAGCCAAAACTACGCAACACAAATACCTAACATTTTATCCAATGGTTGATTTAATGTGATGTAAAGACTAATAAGAAATGAATGTACTAAATATCTTTATTAAATAATAAATTGTATCAAAAATTTAATTTTATTTTTCATTTTAGGTTGAAATCTTCATATGGATGAAAACACAAAAAATGATGAGAATACCTTCTATGAAGTTCATTTAAGAAAAACTGTTGAAGAAAGAACAATTACAGAATTTCCTAGGGTAAGCAAAATTGTGGGCATATTTTATAGAACTTTATACTGCATAAAACAATGATTAAAAAAATGTCAATATTCTTGAAGGGAGATGGTTGAAATTTTCGAATGAGTATGGATGAATAAATTGCCCAAAGAATTCTTGAATGAGGACTCATTCATGAGTCCTTCATTCCATAATTTAGGAGAACACCTATAATGGAGTATTACTTTTCGATATAGCTTACCATTGAAATCTATGGAGATAATTGTAACTGCTGTTATTTAAAAAATGCATAATTGGAGTCTCATATTAAGAGGCCATCACTAGAAATCTTAGGAGATAATTTATTTATATATCTTTACAAGTGAGAACTTTTTTAACTTAAATAAGCATATAAAAGTATTTTGATCTATCTTATATTGCAATTTTTATGAATCTAGGGTCGAGACCACTGCTTTCAGCAGTTAGACTTAGATTATTAGATCTATCCCTTTAATTGAAATAGAAAACAAATATTTCAAATTTTTATTCACAAAAATAAATTAAAAATCCAAATTTTATTATTATTAAAAAAGAATTATTTTATAGATGTCATTAGCTGAGAACTGTGTAGAGTTCTATAAAAGCAGAGGCTTGACAAAAATGCCATGTTTGCTTCCTCCCTTATAATGACTCAAGAGACCACTGTATTATATGATGTAAAAAATTAATAATAAAATAATTTTCAGCAGCTTTTCATATTAGTTGTCAATTGTGACTTGATTCACAAAAACATGTCATTGTTATTTATTGATTGTTTTAAAATTTTACTTGTTGCTTTTTAGCCATACAATTATGATTGTTCACCACATGGAGAAATGAACTTTTCCAACCGGATTCACAGTGCTTGCCATAAAATAAATGTTTCAAAATGTGAAATGTAAGATTATTTCTCTCTCTCTCGTTTTTATGGTATTTTTCTTATCAAAGTAATTTTAAGTGAATAATTGTAAGAGAGTTGCATTTTTTGCTTACTATGAATTAATTCAAATAAAGTAAGACCTCTAATGTCTGAAGTAAGTTTGTTACATCAGACAGAGGGATACCTGCAAGTGGCGTAGTGTGGGTATCTCTATCTTGATTGGTTGTTGATTCTTTCACCATATATTTACATAGAGACTTAACAGCAGAGACAGGTTGGAAGCCATGTGGAACATAAACTAATTATTGATAGAAGTTGCCAGGTACAAAAATATATCATGGTTACAATAAAACACGTAACCATATTATAAATCTAAGTTAAGTAAAAGAAGTGGACGAAAAAGAATCATATTTCAGCTGATTCGATGTACGCTCTGTATTTAATTAACTTATCGTTAATTAACATTCTAACTTATGTGGAGAAACTTGGCTCAACTTTAATACGCCATTTTGCTGATAAAGATTAGTTGACATCGTAGGTCACATGTGTGGGTATGGGAGATCTTCTTGCAGTGCAAGTACCCAATTGAAATAATCATATTATCGAGGGAGCATTCTTTGACTGACTTTTTTGACTTTGACCCAGGGTGCATTAAATTCTCAGAGCCCTATTTTTTACCAAAACTCAGTATTTCAGGTTTGGAATTTCCCTCAAGATCTTTTTTTTTTTTAAGTTACATTACCTTTTTCAAAATATTTTAGAAAGTAAAGTTTGTATATTTATTGTAGCAGTATCTAATTTTGAATTCTTAGCTGATGTCATTGATTCAAAGTTCATTTCATTTATTTATAATATTCATACAACTTCTTAATTATAATGAAATACAATTTATTAAACATATCTTTTTTAAGTATTTAACAATTCTTATTTTTAATATCACCGAATAATAAAACATTTATTTTTAATTCCATAAAAGGGCATTGAAATTTAAATAGGAAAAGAAATAAATATGCATGGGGAAAAAAAAACACTTCAAAATCAATTTTGATTAACAGAAGTATTCAAATCGAAGACTTTTTAGTGATAATCAAGGCTCTACTGTAATTGAAATAATTATAGTCAGGGAAAATGTGACTTTTTTCCAGTTTGCATTTTAAATGTAACTTCAATTATCAGTATTTGTGTCTTCAAAAAACATTGACTATATTTGCATTTTTATAGGCTCAGGCTGACAAAAGTCATTGTTGTTGGAGATGTTGCTGTTGGGAAAACTTGTCTTGTCCGGCGGTAATTAAAGTCTTTTTTTATATATATATGCTTTTCTTTTTTTATGTTGCTGTTATAAATGCAGAGTATGAGAAAATGATCTTATTAATGTATCAGAAAATGATCTTATTAATGATCCTTTTTAGAGTAATGCATTGAAAGCAGAAAAAAATTCTTTTTAATGTACCTATTGCTTACTAGTTTTAATATGTCCCTGTTTTTTTTTTCCTTTTTTTGTCAAAAGTTTTGCTTTTATATATCTGTTTTTCTTTTTTTTTTATGTTTCTGTTATAAATGTGAAGTGTCAGAAGTTTTTAACCTATTGATGTTCCTATTTAGAGACAATTCTAAAAATACTTCTATAGCACAAAATAATTTTTTTCGATTGTTCAATTGCTTATTAGTGTGCTCACTATTACTCATGATTTATTCATAATTTTCTTATTCATTTTAAGGTTTTGTCTACAAGTGTTTGATACAAACTACAAGGCAACTATTAGGGTAGATTTTAAAGCAGAAAAATTTTAAATGTTAGGAGTTCCTTACATATTGCAACTGTGAGTTTATTATCTTAAATAATTTTTAATCTTTTTATTGTTTAACCTTTAATTATTCAGCTGTTTATCTTTTAGATAATAATTATTAGTAGTAAGTTTTTTCACTAAGCTCACTATATTGTATAATCAGGAGTGATCAATTTTGTTGAATTCATATCTAAATTTAAAATGAACATAAAACTAATGCTCAGAAATAATGGCGATAATTGAGTGATTTCAATGAAACAGCTTAACTCATTTGTTCTCTCTTCCTCAGTTTGAAATCCAGCTGAAAGTGTCATCTTTACAAAGATGATGCTTTTTTTTAGCAGCTGTGATTTCCCTTTCCAAACTATAAAGGAGCAGTCCCTGTAGTTACTTTCGGTTTCAGAATGCAAATC